CCCTAGCTTACCCCGCTGGGATTTGTCCGACAGTTGGTGTCGGCGGCCATATTAGCGGTGGAGGTTACGGTAACATGATGAGAAAATACGGTCTCACCGTAGATAATACCATCGATGCAAGAATGGTTGACGTCAATGGTATAATCACTATCTCTAGCTTCATCATTTTTTATGCTAATTAAATTTTATCGTATGAATCAATGTCCTAAAAGATCAACAAACTCATTCGGATAATGAATTTGGTCACATCGATTAAAAAATTGGTCAACATAAAATTAACCAAGCAATCAATAGACAATCACTTATAGAGTATCAACCTTTGACAGAATTATAACTTTCTGTTACATTTTTATTTACCTGAATATTTATATTTATATGTCCTCAATATATGTGAAAATTTTCAGGAAAAATTTTGGATAGAAAATTGATGGGAGAAGATCTCTACTGGGCAATAAACGGAGGAGGAGGAGGAAGTTACGGCGTCGTTTTGGCCTACAAAATAAACCTCGTCGAAGTCCCTGAAAACGTTACCGTTTTCAGAATCTCCCGGACGTTAGAGCAAAACGCGACGGAGATTGTTAACCGGTGGCAACGAGTCGCACCGGAGCTTCCCGACGAGCTCTTTATAAGAACAGTCATCGACGTAGTAAACAGCACCGTTTCATCTCAAAAGACCGTCAGGGCAACATTCATAGCTATGTTTCTTGGAGACACAACAACGCTTCTGTCGATATTAAACCGGAGATTCCCAGAATTGGGTTTGGTCCGGTCTGACTGTACCGAAACGAGTTGGATCCAATCTGTGCTATTCTGGACGAATATCCAAGTGGGTTCGTCGGAGAAACTCTTACTCCAAAGGAATCAACCCGTGAACTACCTCAAGAGGAAATCAGATTACGTACGTGAACCGATTTCAAGAATCGGTTTAGAATCGATTTGGAAGAAAATGATCGAGCTTGAAATTCCGACAATGGCTTTCAATCCATACGGTGGTGCAATGGGGAGGATATCATCGACGGTGACTCCGTTCCCATACAGAGCCGGGAATCTTTGGAAGATTCAGTACGCAGCGAATTGGAGAGAAGATAGGTTAACCGACCGGTACATGGAATTGACGAGGAAGTTGTACCAATTCATGACACCGTTTGTTTCCAAGAATCCGAGACAGTCGTTTTTCAATTACCGTGATGTTGATTTGGGGATTAATTCTCATAATGGTAAAATGAGTAGCTACGTTGAAGGTAAGCGTTACGGGAAGAAATATTTCGCAGGTAATTTCGAGAGATTGGTGAAGATTAAGACGAGAGTTGATCGTGGTAATTTCTTTAGGAATGAACAGAGTATTCCTGTGTTACCATAAGTGTATTTATTTGATAATTGGTTAGTGAAATTTGTTGTTGTATAATGATTATATGTTGTATGTTTATTTATTTTAAGTTTGATATTAAATAAAAATAGTATAATAAGATGAATATTTGATTATGTTGATAAAGAAAATACGATCATACCGTTCTAGTTTAAGTACTTGTTCTAGTTCGTAAGCACTTATTTGCCATAATAATAACAAATTAATGGTAACATTTTTTATTGATCAATTAATAAATTAATATGGTTATTGTAAAAAGACAATAATAGTTGTTTTATAGCTATTGATTATGTCTCGATTCATATATGATATTAAAATCCTTGATTAGATAACATACTTAATTATTGGAGATTGCACTCTCTCTTTTGATGATAGAGATTGCATTCTTGACAAAAGTGATCAATTATTTAAAGAAAAAAAAAAACAGAAGATTTTTTAGTTTAGAAAACTGATGTTACTTTGAATTTATACGATCTTCAAAAAATTGAAACTAATTAAAAAATATTCAAGTCTTTCTTATTTTTTTCCTTTCCGGCAAAAAGGATACAGATGAAGATCATGCCATTTATTTAGAATCTTGTTTCTATTAATTAAAGTTCAAAAAATAGACCGGATAAAGTTGAGCTTATAAATTAGGATTATATAAAACAGATATAGATATGAATCGCCATATTAAGCATTAAACCTCCATATTGAGTAATTGACTAATTTATAAAGATATAAAATCTGCCAAAAAGATATGCATTTACAAGAATAGCCGATTCTATTCATGTCGAATTAACAAATATATAAGAGTACAAACCCCTAAACAAATCTTTCAAACCAATACTCAACAAAAGAGAAGAAGAATGGCATCTCTAACAACTCAAACCCTAATCATCACCATTTTTCTTCTCGCAATCCCAAGATCATTCGCATCACCACCATCACTCGAAGACGTTTTCGCACAATGCTTAGCTGATTTTAAACCTTCAAATCCAAAATCCCCAATCCAAAACTTCATCTACACTCAACAAAGCCCTAATTTCCTCACAATCCTTAACAATTACGTCCGTAATCTTCGTTACTTCAACAACACGACACGTAAACCCGTCGCGATTGTAGCTGCGGCGGATGTCACTCACATCCAGGCTACAATCACTTGCGCCAAGAATCTCGGCCTCCAGCTCCGGATACGCAGCGGAGGCCATGACTACGACGGTATGTCGTATTTATCAACCATTGATTTCGTTGTCCTAGACATGTTCAATCTCCGGTCTATCAATATAGATCCTAAACTCGACACCGCGTGGGTCCAATCCGGTGCTACGCTTGGAGAGATCTACTACGGAGTCGCCAACAAAAGCAATGATCTTCGTGGATTTCCTGCCGGAATCTGCCCTGGTTTAGGCGCTGGTGGACATTTTAGCGGTGGCGGTTATGGAAACATGATGAGGAAATACGGTTTATCGATCGATAACATTATAGACGCTAAGATCGTTGACGCTAAAGGAAGAGTCTTGGACCGGAGCTCAATGGGAGAAGATCTTTTCTGGGCCTTACGTGGTGGTGGAGCTGCTAGTTTCTGTGTTGTCTTAGCTTGGAAGATTAAGCTTGTTCCGGTGCCGACTAAAGTCACAGTCTTCAACGTTGAAACGGTTGGAAACAGAGGAAGTGTGAACATCACGGAACTTGTAACCAAATGGCAAGAGATCGCAGACAAGATCGACAACGATCTGTTCATAAGATTAACTTTAGGCTCAAGCAACAAAACCGTGAAGGCTTCTTTCATGGGAATGTACCTCGGAAACTCATCGAAGCTTCTAGAAATCATGAACGCGAAATTCCCTGAGCTTGGTCTGAACAAAACAGAGTGTATAGAAATGAAATGGATCGAATCGGTTCTGTTCTGGCTCGGTATCCCACCAGGTACAGCACCAACAACGAGTATGCTAAACCGGATCCCGCAAAAGCAAATCTACCTCAAGAGAAAATCCGATTACGTCCAAAAACCGATTTCAAGAACCGGTTTAGAGTCGATATTCAAGGTCCTGACAGAGAACGAGAACGTGACAATGGCTTTTAACCCTTACGGAGGGAGGATGAGCGAGATTCCATCGACCGAGACCGCTTTCCCGCACCGAGCAGGAAACATGTTCAAGATTCAGTACGCAGCAAACTGGTTCGTGCCAGGGGAAGCAGTGGCTAAAGATTGCTTGAGCCAGACGGAAAGAGTGTTCGAGGCAATGAGCCCTTACGTGTCAAAGAATCCAAGAGAAGCGTTTTTGAACTATAGAGACGTCGACATTGGCAAGAGCTTGAATTCGACGTACGAGGAAGGTAAAGTGTACGGAGTTAAATATTTTAAGGATAACTTCGAGAAATTGGTTAATATCAAGAGCAGAGTTGATCCCGACAACTTTTTCCGGTACGAGCAGAGCATTCCAGTGCTCTCCAGCCACTAGAGACTAGAGACACACTTCTATTGACAAGTTTTACCAAAATTTATATTTTACTATTAACATGCAAGAAATAATATAAGTATTTGATGTAAAATGCGAAGAGTTTTTGAGCTCTCTGTTTTTATCGAATTCAGACTTGAACCTCTGTCTCCGATTAGAAGATGAGGTAGTCAATTGTTTTCCTGTATATGTATTATGCACTTTCGAAATTTATATTTATATGACAAAAAAAGATGTCTTTTTTACTTTTCTTTATTTTCACTCCAGTAAAAAATGTGTTGGAATTGTCAATTGGAATCGGTCACTTAGCCGGATCACGTATTTTGTACTTTTGAACACAAAATTCACAAATGAGTCATAATGGAAAAGAACAAATAAATATGTTTTTAACTATATACATGTAATTATTTGACTTTTACAAACTATATATTTAGTTAAACTATACATCAGCCAAGCACTATGTGTATAAAAAATAATATGTCAACTAATGAATATTTACATGTCCTTTAAAAAAATGAATTTTCAAAGAGAGTCCTCTATTTTCGTATATAGAGGATAACACACCCACATGCACGCAAGATGATATATTTATTGACTAAGATAATCACCGAAAACGGTCAACGCATAATTTGATAAACAAGACTTGCACGATACATAGATCTGGATCATAGACATAAATCTCTAACGAATCTCAACATATACAAATGATTAATAAAAAACTCGATCCGTACTAGCTCACGCCTAAGCTAAATTAAAAACTATTCTATTAATCTCCAAATCTTTCATATATATGAACACTGCAAACTCTAAACTTTGAAAAGTCATATATTTAGATAATGACGCGTTATCGGCTATCGCTTACCGGAGTGCTCATAAATACAATAACAATATGTAAAAGTCAAAGTCAAATAATATTTAGTCCCCTATAACTTTTAGAGCATGCACATAGTTGATGAATATCATTAACAATTTTTTAGTATTAATTTTAATGTTTGTTTATTATTTGAGATTTTTTATGATACGAAAAAAACTTGTAGCTGTCAAAACAAACGTGAAATAAATAAATATATATATGACGTCAAAAAGTGTGTATATATCCGGGAGATTTTTTATCAAGAAAGAATCAGTGTATAAAGAGAATGATTAATTCCTAATCCTCACAATTAAAAATTTGGTGTTAAAAACAAAAAAAATCTCTACGAGTTTGATTATTTGTTTTGATCTCTAGTAATTTCTCATGAACCTATAGAGGGAAATAGATAGTTTCGAAAACTTTGTCTGATTAACTTTTGAAAACTACTGTCTACTTTACTAAAAGTCTAAAACTATCTATACTAATATATTTCACTTAGGTTCGGATAAGATAGTCGGACTAATACTTAATTCATTGACAATCTTTGATATTATAGAAAAAAATTAATTAATCTCTTCTCTATATAAATACTCAAAAACGAGCTTTCAAAAATATAATCCAAACTCCAAAAAATAAACAGAGCAAAAAAATGGAGAAATGGCTCGTGATCTCTCTGCTACTACTGATCTCAACATCAATCACAACTTCACAATCCGTGACCGATCCAATAGCTTTCCTTCGATGTCTCGATAGACAACCAACGGACCCAACAAGTCCTAACTCCGCCGTCGCTTATATCCCAACAAACTCTACCTTCACCGCCGTCCTCCGCCGCCGTATACCAAACCTCCGTTTCGACAAACCCACCACTCCTAAACCCATCTCCGTCGTTGCAGCCACCACGTGGACACACATACAAGCTGCTATAGGATGCGCACGGGAGCTCTCTCTCCAAGTCAGGATCCGAAGTGGTGGCCACGACTTCGAAGGACTCTCTTACACTTCCACCGTCCCTTTCTTTGTCCTGGACATGTTCGGTTTTAAATCCGTGGACGTGAATCTAACCGAGAGAACGGCTTGGGTTGATTCTGGTGCTACCGTCGGTGAGCTTTATTACCGGATAGCTGAGAAGAGTAATGTTCTTGGATTTCCGGCGGGTTTGTCTACGACATTGGGCGTTGGTGGACATTTTAGCGGTGGAGGGTACGGTAATCTGATGAGAAAGTATGGATTGTCGGTGGATAATGTTGTTGGCTCCGGGATCGTTGATTCGAACGGGAATATCTTCACCGATCGGGTTTCGATGGGGGAAGACCGTTTCTGGGCAATTCGAGGAGGTGGTGCAGCGAGCTACGGTGTTGTACTCGGCTACAAGATCCAGCTAGTACCGGTGCCGGAGAAAGTTACGGTATTTAAAATCGGAAAAACCGTCAGAGAAGGAGCGGTTGATCTTATAATGAAGTGGCAGAGTTTTGCTCATAGTACCGATCGGAATTTGTTCGTGAGGTTGACGTTGACTTTGGTCAACGGTACGAAGCCTGGTGAAAAGATGGTTTTGGCTTCGTTTATTGGGATGTATTTAGGCCGGTCGGATAAGCTGTTGACCGTGATGAACCGGGATTTCCCGGAGTTGAAGTTGAAGAAAACCGATTGTACCGAGATGAGATGGATCGATTCGGTTCTGTTTTGGGACGATTATCCGGTTGGTACACAGACTTCTGTGCTGCTAAACCCGGTCGCAAAAAAGTTGTTCATGAAACGAAAATCTGACTACGTGAAGCGTCCGATTTTGAGAGCCGGCATCGATTTGATACTCAAGAAATTGGTAGAGGTTGAGAAAGTTAAAATGAATTGGAATCCGTATGGAGGAAGAATGGGTGAGATCCCGAGTTCGAGGACACCTTTCCCACATAGAGCAGGCAATTTGTTCAACATTGAGTATATCATAGACTGGTCCGAAGCTGGAGATAACGTCGAGAGAAAATATTTGGCACTCGCGAATGAGTTATACGGATTCATGACCCCGTACGTGTCTAGTAGTCCGAGGGAGGCGTTTTTAAATTACCGTGACCTTGACATAGGGTCAAGTGTTAAGTCCACTTACCAGGAAGGTAAAATCTATGGGGTTAAATACTTCAAAGACAATTTCGAGAGACTAGTGGATATTAAAAGCACGATAGATGCGGATAACTTTTGGAAAAACGAACAAAGCATTCCGGTTCGAAGTTAATAAGTACATGACGAATGTTGTGAGTTGTGATCCGATCCTGTGACATGGTATATCAAGACTTTTAGTAAATAAAAAATGGAAAAGAAAAAAATGTATTAAAATCTTTGGTTCTATATAGTACTATTTGTTATTAATAAATGTATTGTGAACTATATTTACCAAAAAAGTTGTATCATGAACTTCTGAATTTCTTACATGTCATTGAACAAGTGTTTTCGTTTATTTCTTACATGACAGGATAACTATAGGTGTATAACACACTCATACGTGCACGGAAAGATGTATACATTCATTGACCAAGACATTCAACGTTTCTCTATATACTACGTACGGACAACGCGGGATTTGATAAAACAAGACTTGCCCGATACACAGATCTGCTCAAATACATATTCCTTTCCGTACTTCATCATGCATAAGCTACAAATATATCTATTAATCTCCTAAATCTTGCATATATAATAATATAATATGAACACTGCAAACAATAAACTTTGAAAAGTCATATATTTAGATAATGACGCGTTTTGGCTATCCGGAATGCTCAAGTCAAAGTCAATTATATATAGTCCACTATAACATTTAATCCGGACTAAGAACTTTAGCTAGAATAGAACGCGTGAAACAAAATTTGTATATACATGTTTTTATAACCACAAATCTCATACCAAAACCCATATTAATTACAGTAACTTATAACCCAAGAAATATTGCCTAATGGTTACTGGACCTAGGATCTACGGAAGTGAATGTATTCCTCTAATTTCAATGTGCTTGAAATCAATTCTCACCTGTCCACTTGAGCGTCCAGGTTTTGATACAGATGCTTAACATGTGGTGGGTTTGCCGGTAATAGAAATTTGTTTGATATCTATAGTGGCAACACATATTTCAACATAACGATATGTAAGAATGTTCACTTAGGTTTTAGATAAGATGGTCGGACTAAAATAGTTACTTACTTGTAACTTGTAAGCTTTGAGTCTTTGACATTGAATAATTGTTTAATTTTGGGTGACACACATTGAAGGATAATTAATCAACTTTTTATGGATTATTAAATTAACTAAAGTGTACTATTGAACAAATGAGAACCTTGGATTACCCAAAAAGGATTGTTTACAGAAGTGTACTATTACAGTATTACCAAGTTTTCTTTTTCTTTTTCTTTGGCGCAGATATTTGTATACAAAACTAATCCACCATCAAATACAAGAAGAGATTTCGATATACAAAAGAAAATCAAATAAATTAGGGATGATTGCATTTTTTAAAAAAATTTGCCAGCTGATTGTCTACAGAAGTATATACTATAATAAGGGAAATAAATAAATAATTCATTGAACAGATAAGAACCTTGGACTTGGATCACTAAAAACCCGGCCTCTCTATATAATACACACAACACAAGCTTTACAAAATTTATAATCCAAACTCCCAAAAATAAACATCAAAATAAAAATAAAAATGGAAAAATTACTCATAATTTGCTTGTTACTAATCTCAGTTTCAGTTGCAACTTCCCAGTCCCAAACCGATCCGGAGACTTTCCTCCGATGTCTCGTAAGAGAAGGATCAAACCCTCAGGTTTTCATCTCCGACGTCACCTACATCCCATCAAACTCCTCTTTCACCACCGTCCTCCGCCGCCGCATACCTAACCTCCGTTTCGACAAACCCACCACCCCAAAACCCATCGCCATCATCACCCCTACCACATGGTCACACATTTCTCCGGCGCTAGCTTGCGCACGCTTACTCCCTGTCCAAGTCAGAATCCGAAGTGGCGGTCATGATTTCGAAGGACTCTCTTACACCTCCACTGCTCCGTTCTTTGTCATCGACTTGCTCAACTTCAAATCCGTTGACGTGAATCTCACGGAAGGAACGGCTTGGGTTGATACCGGCGCCACAATCGGAGAGCTTTATTATAAAATCGCTGAGAAAAGCAATGTTCTTGGATTTCCGGCGGGTTTGTGTACTACATTGGGCGTTGGTGGACATATTAGCGGCGGAGGGTACGGAACTATGATGAGAAAGTATGGTTTGTCGGTGGATAACGTTGTCGGGTCCAGGATCATAGACTCTAACGGGAATACCTACTTCGATCGAATGTCCATGGGGGAAGAGCTTTTCTGGGCGGTTCGAGGAGGTGGAGCCGCAAGTTTTGGTATCGTGATGGGATATAAAATCCGGTTGGTTCCGGTGCCGGAGAAAGTTACAGTTTTTAGCGTTGGAAAAACCGTCGGAGAAGGAGCCGTTGATCTTATAATGAAGTGGCAGAATTTTTCTCACAGTACGGATCGGAATTTGTTCGTGAAGCTGACTTTGACTTTGGTCAACGGTACAAAGCCCGGTGAAAAAACGGTTTTAGCGACTTTCATTGGGATGAATTTAGGCGGGTTGGATAAGACGTTGAACGTGATGAACCGGGATTTCCCAGAGTTAAAGCTGAAGAAAACCGATTGTACCGAGATGAGATGGATCGATTCGGTTCTGTTTTGGGCCGGTTTTCCGATTGGCACACCAACTTCTGTGTTACTAAACCCTAGAGTTACAAAAAAGTTGTTCATGAAACGGAAATCAGACTACGTGAAGCGTCCGGTTTGGAGAACCGGCCTCGGTTTGATACTCAAGAAATTGGTTGAGGTTGGTAAAGTTGAAATGAATTGGATTCCATATGGAGGAAGAATGGGGGAGATCCCGAGTTCGAGGACACCTTTCCCACATAGAGGAGGAAATTTGTTCAACATTGAGTATATCATAGACTGGTCGGAAGCTGGAGATGACGTGGAAAAGGATCATTTGGCAAGTGCAAGTGAGATGTACAAATTCATGACCCCATACGTGTCTAGTAATCCTAGGGAGGCGTTTTTGAATTACCGTGATCTCGACATAGGGTCAGGTGTTAATTCCACGTACCAGGAAGGTAAAATCTATGGGACTAAATATTTCAAAGACAATTTCGAAAGGTTAGTGGATATTAAAACCAAGTTCGATGAAATAAACTTTTGGAGGAACGAACAAAGTATTCCGGTTCGAACTTAATAACACGAATGTTGTGACTTGTCACTTGTGATGTGTATTAAAATTTTCAGCAAAATAAACAAGGATATGTATTAAGATTTGCTTCGATGTATCGTTGTCAAATGTATCATGAATTGATCTCTGATTTGATGATAATAAATACAAGTGGTTGTTCTCCTACATTGCTAATGAGGTAATTCTATTAAGAAGATACATGGATTGTTCATTTGTTATAACTGATTTTGAATGAAAAGATCATAATTCATATTAACACACATGTCTTTTGTGTATTTCATGCACACTTCTGATTTTTGTTTACAAAAATTTAGATATCATTATGATTTCAAGATTTGGCTGATTAATTCTTGATTATATCCTTTGCTTTTTTATATCCTACCATTTTTGTTTCAAATATTCACAATTCAACGTTTTTATGTACCCTCGCCAATTCCCATAAAATTTTAATTAGATGTCCTAATATTACGTCAAATTTAGTTAAATAACATAAACTTACCAATTATTACCATTGTCAAAGTTGGAAATATTTGACCGAAAATTCAAAAGTAACCCACACTTTCTCAATTAGCCAAAAATTCTCTATTAATCCAAATCTCTAACAAAAAAACTCAAAAGTGAAAATAAAATAAAAATAAAAGAATGGACAAAATCTATCTTTTCTTTCTTCTCTTTTTCGCTGCATCGTCCTCTATATCATTGAGTTCTGCAGATTCCGTAACTATCTACGAAGATTTTGTCCGATGTTTCAAAAACGTGACAACTATCTCCGACGATGATCTCTCCGCCGTCGTTTTGCCACGTACCAGCGTTTCCTTCACTCCTACCTTACGCGCCTACATCAGAAACGCGCGTTTCAACACCTCCTCAACGCCAAAACCGTCGATCATCATCGTGCCACGTGTCGATTCCCACGTTCAAGCCGCCGTGATCTGCGCCAAAACGCTGAATCTCCAGCTTAAGATCCGTAGCGGTGGTCATGACTACGACGGTCTCTCTTACGTCTCCGCCGTGACGTTCCTCGTCCTTGATCTCTCTAATTTCCGAAACATCACCGTTGATATAACCGATGACGGAGCAGGATCCGCTTGGGTTCAAACCGGCGCGACGCTCGGCGAGCTTTACTACCGGATCTGGGAGAAGAGCGAGGTTCATGCTTTCCCCGCCGGAGTCTGTCCTACCGTCGGCGTCGGAGGACACGTAAGCGGTGGTGGATATGGACACATGATTCGAAAATTCGGTCTCACTATAGATCACGTCGTTGACTCCACAATCGTCGACGCTAACGGTCAAATTCACGACCGGAAATCTATGGGAGAGGATCTTTTCTGGGCGATTCGCGGCGGAGGCGGCGGAAGCTTCGGCGTTATTTTAGCTTTCAAAGTGAAACTCGTGACGGTTCCAAAAACCGTAACCGTTTTCAGGGTTGATAAATCGGTTGACGAAAATGCCCTTGACATGGTTCATAAATGGCAATTCGTAGCTCCAAGAACCGACCCGGGTTTATTCATGAGAGTGTTGTTATCCTCTCCGACGCAGAACAAAACACGTACCGTGAACGCTAAACTCAGGGCGTTGTATCTTGGAAGAGCTGACGACGTCGTTTTAAAGATGACGGAGGAGTTTCCGGAGTTGGGTTTGAAGAAAGAAGATTGTAAGGAGATGACGTGGATCCAATCACTCTTATGGTGGATGAATCATGTAGACGTGGATAAAGTAAAACCGGAGATTTTGCTCGAGAGAGAACCGGATTCGGCTAAATTTCTCAAGAGGAAATCGGATTACGTTGAGAAGGAGATGACCAAACCGGAATTAAACCGGTTGTTTCAGAAATTGGCGACGTTAGATAGAACCGGTTTGGTTTTGAATCCGTATGGAGGAAATTTAAACGTGACCGCAGTGAATGAAACAGCGTTTCCGCATCGGCACAAACTATATAAGATCCAGCATTCGGCGACTTGGCCCGATGCTGGACCGGAAGCGGAAAGACTTTACATTGGTAATTTAAGAACGACCTATAAATTCATGACTCCGTTTGTGTCGAAGAATCCTCGAAGTTCGTATTTGAACTATAGGGATATTGATATAGGGGTTAATGATCATGGAGAGGATAGTTATCGAAAGGGAGAAATCTACGGGAGGAAGTATTTTGGCGAGAATTTTGATCGATTGGTCCGGGTTAAAACGGCTGTTGATCCGGAGAATTTCTTTAGAAATGAGCAGAGTATACCAACTTTACCTTCTAATAGAAGATAGAAAACTTAAGTCGATGTAAACATAGTAACTTCTCTATAGTGTTTCTTCATGAAACTTGGAATAATTTTTATAATAGATTTAGCTGCAAGCTATATTGTGGCATATACATCACAAGTTTTGAAAAAATACCATCCCTTCTAAGTTCTAAGTTCTAATTTTCTAAACGTTCATTATGTCAACCTATCTAATTGTGATAAAACTTAATCTCGAGTTAAAATTGAAACTATATCATATGTTGGTTTTAGTTTGCTTCATATAAGACTCCATGATTCCATATACCGGAACATAAAAAAAACAAATTAGACTTAACCGGAACTGGAGTTAAAACCAGATCGAACACTCATCCAATAACAAAAAGAAGACAAATAACATTTCAGTAATTATACATAAACACTCTTAAACTAGAATCCACGATACAACAATAAGAAAGGTTTATAGAACAAATATAATGAAAATTATACATTGATGACACGCCATATGATGTGTAAGTTCGGTTTAGTTCCTATCAGTACCGTGCAAAGCAAGGAAAAGACCAATCCAGATAAACACAATCTTTGTGCCGGAGATCTTCAACTTTGAATTTCCATTAAGAAATGGAACGCCCGAGAGATTGTTCTGGTTGAGTCGATTCGTAAAGGGCTGGTTTTGAGCAGAAGAAGAGGACGAAGAAGAAATCGGTTGGTTGAATCCAGTTGATGATGGTTGATTAAACCCGGTTAAAGGTTGGTTTAGAGAAGAAGATGGCTGACCAAGAATTGGTTGGTTGAGTCCAGTTGATGATGGCTGATTAAACCCAGTTAATGGTTGATTTAACCCGGTTAATGGCTGGTTTACAGAAGAAGAAGTAGATGGCTGACCAAGAATTGGTTGGCTTAGTCCAGTTGATGATGGCTGATTAAATCCGGTTAATGGTTGGCTTAACCCGGTTAAAGGCTGGTTTACAGGAGAAGAAGAAGATGGCTGACCAAGAATTGGTTGGTTCTGGTTCACTTGTGGCTTTGTTGGTGAATTGATGACTCCTGTTGGTTCTAATGGTGTGGTGATTTGGGTTACTTGTGCAGCCTCTGAAAATGATGAAACCAGAAGGCACAGAAGAATGATTGTAAGCATACATCTCCCGGTTTTGGCGAATTTCCTATCCATTTTTTTTTTTTGTGATTTTCCAGTATATTTTCCGGTTTACTAAACAGCAGCTCTTATAGACAGACAAATCTGGAGTTGTTAGCTTCTTTAAGGTTGTCTGAGGAGTTGATGGAGAGCAAAAAAGAAAGCAGTTGACCAAACACACAAATCCAACTAAACCAACCAAATAGTGTCTTTGTTTTTGTATCATCTACTACATCACTGTTTTGTGCTTATATGCTGTGTTTTATATACAAGAATGATAGAATTTATCTATAAATACAGAAGAATGGATCAAAAACCGGTTCTCAAACCGAACACGTTACGCCTAATGGAAAGCGAAATCCAAACCATCAAGAACATCCAAATCACTAGAAGAGTTCTTATCTGAAAGATCAACTTTTGGAGAGTTTCCTGTACTTCTACTCAGTGCCCAAATCTTGATTCCTTTCTTGTTCTTCTTCAAGCCGACTAATTCTTGACTCTTACTTAGATTAGGCCCGAATCTTATGCTTTGGACTCTGTCTAACAACAACCTGTCTTCTAAAGAGAGTTGGTTTTTATAGGTGAAGTCAGGGGAGAGGGATAGTTGCGTATTGGAGATGGTAATCTTGTTGGGTGGAGAGACATGGTTGGTTTCTTGAAGCTTAACGCCTTGAACTCGTTTCTTTGATGACTTCATTAGTCGATGAAGCCATACAACGAGTTCGAGTACATATGAATCAACTTTTGGTTTATCCGCGTGATGAAGCGTCTGAAGTCGTGTTGGATTCCCATTGTTCTCGCCTTTTCCTTTTCCTTTCCCAAACTCTATCCTGTTTTCCACATTCGTAGTTTGTCAGATCAGATTCAAGATTCAAGATTCAAAATTCCAGTAGTTGATTGAGAGACTTACCTTGAATTTGCCCATTCACCTACCCATCCGAAGCCTTGATGTGCTCTGTGAAAATTGAATATGATGTGACAAAGAATGAATAAGGAGAAACATATTGAACCAAAAACGATGGTGAAGGAATGCTTACTTGGTAGTGTTTTCGGCAAACGGGACAAGCCATTGAAGCGACTTCTCCATTTCAGCTTTGATCTCAGAGATTGAAAGCTGCATAACACTCAAGTTAGGTAACCAAACAAGAAACAGAACCAAACAATGCCTGACGATATACTAGAGAAACAAAAATCTTCTTTGGACAAACCTCTTCCTCCGGATCAAGAGTTTGCAACCGAGGACGAAGAGCTGTCTTGACGGTAGCAGGTAATGCATTGTACAGCGTGTCCCTTACATTAGAAGGAAGTGATGATGGTCGAGACGCCTAGAAATTTCAAGGATCAGTTTCAAGTAGAGAACATATAAGAATAAGACTGGTGAGAATCTGGAAGCTTACAATACTATCGATTTGTTGGATTAAATTAGCATAGTGTAACGAAAGACCGGCTTCACCTAATCGTTCTCTTCCCTGCTTTCCTTCATTGTCTTTTAACCCTATTGTTAGTTAAGACAATGATAGTTAAGATATGGTTTTCCAGAAGTGGAGTCATTAGTCATTATCAGAGGACCAGAGGTACAAAGAAACATTACCGTTGTTGCCAAAAACTTCCACAATCGTCTGCCGTATATAGCAAACAACATCCACAAGCTTCTCAATTATCTGCAACAAAAGAAAATTTTAGAATAACTGACATATGTACCACACACTCGAATACAACAATTCAAGAATCACTTGCCTCTTCCAGATTCTGGGACCAGAGCGATTTCTTCTGTAAGCTCTTCACGAGTTTCCTCTGTTGTTTTAGTTCATTTTGTAAGATGACAATACCCTCTCCTACATGTAGAAAAAGAAAATGAAATCAAGAGTTCTTGAAAGAGCTAGGACTGATCAAATAAATAGCAAGACCAACCTCTCCGAGGGAGGTTTAAAGACTCTATTTCTGCAAGCTTTCTCCTGTAATCTTGTTCAAACCTATCCAAAGCTTGCAACTCGTGATATAACTCCTGATAAAGCAAATGCAAGTTAATTTCAAATCTCCAAGAAAAAAGTAACAGCTCATTGAAACTTCAACATGGAGATAAGTCATGTAAGAGTTTTGAAAAATAAAACATACAGAAGTGAATCGGGCAAGAGTGACGAGCTCTTGCATCTTTGCCTCTGCCTCATCTTTGAGCAGTTTATGCTGTGAGTTCTCTGTGTCAAGCCTGAAACGTTATAGACCGGTGTACAATGAAAATCTACTGGTACACGAGTGACTAAAAAGCATTGGATAAGGACTTGCTCAACGCAGAACTAAACTTACTTCATAAAATATCGATCGAGATTGTGCCACTGCATATCTTTGCACATATTGCCAAACCTGATAACCTCTCCAGAAAAAAGATCGAGTTCCTCCCTACAAAAAAAGAATATGAATCAAGAAAGAAAATGAACCACAAACAAAACAAATGGAGATAAATTAAAAAACACAAACCTTTTGTCAGAAGCAGCAAGAATTTGCAACTCTGCGGTATCCGTAGAAACCAACTTCTTAACTCCCTTGGATCGCAACATTTCTTTCTTCATAAACTTGAGATTCTCTTCAGACAGAGATTGTAGCAAAGCAGCACCTTTGGCTATTGTGTTGGCCACTTCAAAGGCCAATATAGTGACTTTGCCACCACGGGATGATGTAACACCAGAGAGATACGCGCTGCTCGGGTTCATACGAGACATGCTGCTCCCCAGCGTGTCTAGAACTTCAACCGCCTTCTCTAACCCCATAACCCCAGCCCGTCCCATAAACGAGTTCCTCTGCATAAACTGTTGAAAAAATCAAGAAACAAACTCTCATCAATATAAAGATGAAATCTTTCTCATTAGAACAGTATGATTCATATATGTCCCTAGAGAAATTGTACATCCTAAAAAGCCTTTGAAAACAAAAACCTTAGTAGAATCGTTCCTTAACGGAGGCATCGGACCGAGTTCACCGGAAAAGTTGAAAACAACCTCATCAGGCTTAGAACTTTTCCGCCTCGAGCTTCCGTAATGATCTGAATAATAAGAATCAGAGGTTCTTCTTCTCCTCATCGACTTCAGTTTCCCAGAAAACCCTCTTGTCTTATCATCGTTTGATCTCAACTTCTTCTTATCACCATCTTTGTATACACAAGAACAAGCACCTCCCATTTTTTCTTCTCCAACAAGTTATCTCTCCGATAAAGCTCTAATTTTTAGAGGAAACTAACGGTATTAAAAAAGCAAAAGAGATCAAATGACCCAAAAGAATCAAGAAAATCAAGAATTGCAACTATGGTAGGGACAAAAAGAAAGACTTGGTAAAATGGGAGAGACAAAGTCAGAACAAGGAAGAGTTTTTATTATTATACACCATTCACAAGCTAAGAGGAAGCACCGTGGAATCAATGGCTTCTATTTTCATTTCTCTTTGACTTATCATTTTAAAGAGAAGTCAGAGTCAGAGAGACGACTATTCTTACTTCCTTTTGGCATTTTTTAATTTGTTGTTTATCGAAAGAGAAGAAGACCATTGTTGAAGATATCTCGCCGGCCTTGTTTACATGGAAAGTGACGTGCTTAGGTTTGATTTTTTAGCAATCTTTCTTTTGCTGAAGAATTAGTCCACTTATATTTCAAGCATGATCAAACCTTAATTTCAACGCCAGTGAAAGTATTAAGAGAAAAAAAAAAAATGCTTACTAGCTGAGACGTGGCGGTTTCCGGCGCCGGGAATGTAACCAGTGGTGATTGGGAGATTCTGGTTTAGTTTTGTATCTGATGCTGAAATTGGGTGTACCGTATCGGTTTAATCCTGAACCGGTGGAAATTCCGGTTTAATTCTTGGAAAAACGGAGGAATATTGGAGAATTTATGGTTTGTTGGGGAATTTCGGCATCGATCAATATTCTTTCGTTTTATGTTTGATCAGTGTTTAGTTTTTTTTTTTTTTTTTTTTTTTTTGATTTGCTTGAAGAAGATGAAGTTGGGTGATTGATGATGAGCTCGGACCAACGCAGAGGTGTGGGGAGGTGGAATGTTGAGGCCTGAATTAGTGAATATTGGGCTGTTTTTAAGGCCCATCACAATAAAACTGTAAATATGTAATTTCTCTCTAAAAACAATATCCTTTTAATGTATGTCTTTTGAAGTTAGAGATTTAAATTGGGTTTAATTTTTCAGAGTATGCAAAACTACAAAAAATAATATATCATATATATTGTTGACAGAAATTTTTTTATGATGAAATTAATCATGTTGTTTTATTACATACTAGTTTAATAGCTCGCGCTTTACGCGGTCAAATCAGTTTAGCAAATTATTTTTTACTCAAATGATTAGCATATTGTATTTTTTTTTTAGCAATTAGTTACAAATTTGTGTAGCAGTATTTTGTATATACATTGAGTCAAAAATATTTTTCACATATATATTTACAATGGTTTTTTCACATAGTTTGTCGAGCATTTAATTACCGACTAATAACTTTGTCGACGGATTTTTATGACATGTTACTTTGCGGTGTCATGTATATAATAGTTACCATCTTTCAAAACTGGAAACTGAACCTGAAAGAAGAAAAGAAAATGAGATTATTATATACAAATGCATATATGAATATGGGTAAAGCAAACTATGTCTAACGTATGTAAATTGTAGAGTTGTGTTGATATATAATTCGATTATGAAGTCTGAATAACTTATATCTTATGTCTAACGTATGTAAATTGTAGAAACTTTTTTATGATGAAATTAATCATGTTGTTTTATTACATATATCTTAAAAGTTATATATTTTTAATATTTTTTGTAAATTGATATCAATAAACTAGTGTTTAAAATATTAATGGCCTAACTGATTAGAGATGGTGATTGTTAAAATTAGGATTTATATATATATAAAAAAACCTACACTATGTAAAAAAAAGTCCATCCACAATAGGTGTAAATTTGAAGTTTTTTTGTCAGGTAAGGTCAACGAGAAAAAGAAGTAGTTACGAAGACGGTCGTTTACAAAAATGGCCTATGCCTTTAAGATGATGCATCTACTTGTCAACATTTTTTTTTTTTGTCATCTGATTTGATTAATAAAACATCAGAAAGATACATTGTAAAATTACAAATGCCAGCGGAAGAAATGGATTTTTTCGGAGACAAAGCCCAAACGATGGAAGCAAAGCCCTAAGTTAAAAGGAAACTAAAAGTCCAAAGGAAAGGAAACCTTACATCAAATTCAACCAAAAAAAGATTAAAAACCTTAGTATCAACTCCAAATAGAAGATATCATCAAGCACAAGAAGAGAGGCAAAGAAGGGACTAGCTCAAATGGGAGCAGGTAGAGATAAAACACCAAATGTCAAATTATTGAAGGGGACTGAAGGAAGACCAAACTCATAACAAAGCTCACACCGCCTGGATAAGAATCGGAAAGAACCACGAAAAACCAAAGCCAAACCAACCAGAACCCAGAAACCGGATTGAGAAACCGTCGTGAACACGACTTTCCAAGACAACACCTTAACCTACATACTACATAGAAACTGGCCAAACTCCAATCAAAAGGACCGAACCACTGAAACTAGAACCACCAAGCCAACCTTGAGAGCAGCAAACCGCACAATCACCAAACCATAAACTTCAACCTCTGTATCTCGTTGCTTCATCCCAAATCAGCATAACAGAACGGATCCGAAGCATCAACTAGAGAAAAACCCAAAAGCAAACCAACTAACCCAAAACACTCCCTCCAAATGCAAAATCCGATTGGAAAAGAAATCCCAACTCCGGACACCAAACGTAGGGGCACAACAAAGGAACCCGTCGAGTTGAAAATAAGCAATCCCAAAAGGCAAGATACACCGACCAATGAAGGACACCGAAAGCAAAGGAACTAAACCCTAGAGATCAATCCACTGGGAGACAACTAACCGAAAGGAGAAATGAACAAAAACCATCGAAAGAGAAGGCGAGACATATACCTCCGGAGACAGAGAGCCAAAACCCTCATGAAGAACCAAAGGTAGATCTGAAGCATAAAAATGAGAACCTGAAGCGAAAGCAGTCCAAAGCCCCTCGATGCTCATCAATTCCTCTTGACTACTCAGATCTGAAACGCAAAACATGGATCCGACCTCTACGCGCCAACACTCTTCTTTTCATCAGAAGATATCTCAGATTAGCGGAGAGGAGACTCAAAGGGCAACTACACAAAGAAGACAAAGCTAGAACGAGAACCTATGGCCCTCTCACAGCTCCGGCGAGGAGCACCGGAAGCCGGAGAGGGCAAAACGGAGATGACGTTTTTGGACGGCTAGGGCAACCTCGAGAGAGTTTTTTCTTTTTTTGACATATCGGACCACTTACTACCGCATTTATGATTATGAGTAATTATGAGTAGATTTTTATGTATAATAACTCAATATCATGTAATTTTTATATCAATATTAACTGATGATTTTTTTTTTTTGACATCTTTGGATCGACAAGGCCCGATCCATAGCCAATTCCTACTACGCGGGGTAACTTGATTTAGTGGAGTCGAACTCCGGTGGGGAAGGCGGAGTCAAGTGGACTTAACCACTTGACTAAATGTACATCCCCAATTAACTGATGATTTTTATATCAAGTAATTGATCAATATACAAATTCATCCTCCTTTTTAATTTTTATATCAGAAAACACAAAACTCCATTTCCAATAAAAACATCTTTACATGTCGGTCGTTATATATGGAAATAATAGTATTTTAGTTTTGCTGCTTCATGGTGTCTTTATAAAATTTTATAGATGCGGCATCTATAACAAAAGTTGATTGTGTGCTTGAGATTGTTAATTACAATTTATATTGACTGATTGGTTTATAAATTTCAAGGTTAATGACGACTGTTTTATAAAAAAAAAAGATTCATATTCTTCAGATTAAGAAGGTATAGTGAACTGAATTTCAAAATGTTTTTGTTATCAGTTTCTTATATATAGGATAGAATCACACTTAGAAAAACATTATAATGTTTTTGCCGTGTCTCTTTTTTACTATAGTGTAAAATTAGATACATTCTGATAAAGGCGATATTAAGGATAAAAAGGACTGAAAGTACATTTATCGCCTTTTTCACATCGTCATAATTATAAAACATGTGTGTATCATAACAATCATCAATAAATTTTGATATAGATTGTTTCTCATGATATTAGTTTTAAAACTTATCTAGAAGAGATATTTTGTTTTTTTTGCTAAAATATCTATAAGAGATATTTTAGCACAATGTAAAAAAATATAGATATATGTGACTTGACGAAAAAAAAAAAACAAAAGATATATGTGACTACTTGTGTTGGCCGGGTGCTTGCTGCTTGTGCTTGGGCATGCGAGTGTGAAGTCTAGTATCTTGCAACTTTACGGCTTAACTAACATGTGAACGGGTTTTGTTAAGTGGCTTGTATCTTATTTTATTTCACTTTAACACATTGGAAAAGTTTGATGTCACAGAAGAAAATAAAAAAAACTATACGAGGATTATATGAGTAGCATCAAAATTGTTATAAATGTTCCATGTGAAAATATCAACCAAATGTTTTCTTTAACAAGAAAATAAAAACCAAATGTTTATAGCCGATGTTTGTTCTATTGGTCGACATCAAATATTTTATTTAGTTGCACTTAAATCGACAGATTAAATTGGAAATGACCCGATTTTGTTAAGGAATAATATCATTCCAGACATTACAATAAGTCGGTCACAAATTGTTCAAGTCTGTGACAAATTGTTCAAGTCTGTGATTAAATGGAAAAAAATCTGTCAAGGAAAACAAATCTGCTAAAATTTTGTAAGTCTGTCGTAACCATAATCTAAGAAATCTGTCAAGTAGATAACAGATTTTTCTAAAATTATTGGAATTTTTATGAAGGGTATTTTGGTATTTTTTTTTACATATGAGACAAAGGCATTTTAAGCATGAAATAACTCATTTAACCCAAATTATTTGTGAGTCAATCTAGTAATTAAACTCAAAATTTGGGTTAATCTAGTAAATCTCCCATATTTAAAAATTTGTATTTATGTTGATTAAACCTAGAGTCCTCAAGGTCTCTGTAATTCATCATAATGAATATAACATTCTCTACACAATAATATCTGGTATCAGAGCTTAGATCTCTAACCTAAAATCTTTTCGTTTTCTCTCAGCCGTCACCTTCTTCAAACTCCCTCTCTCTCACGATATCATGTCTTCTTCCAGTGATGAACAAATCATTGTCTCTGGTTCTACCTCCCTTATCAACGTCAATATGACGAACGTTCCAAAGCTCACTACTTCCACCTTCTTGATGTGGAGCCGCCAGGTCCACTCTCTCTTCGATGGGTACGATCTCGTTGGCTATCTCGACGGATCCAGTGCTGCACCAACACCTACTCTCACTACCAACGGTGCTAGCTCCACCAACTCGGCGTACAAACTATGGAAACGTCAAGACAAGCTGATCTACAACTCGCTTCTTGGTGCCATTTCCATGTCTGTCCAGCCAATCCTGTCAAAGGCGGTCACAGCTCATGATGTCTGGAGCACTCTCTCCGACACCTACGCCAACTCGAGTCGTACTCACATCCAACATATACGCCAACAAGTGAAACTTTGGACCAAAGCCTCCAAATCCATTGAGGAGTATGTCCAAGGATTCACTATTCGATTCGATCAGCTTGGTAAACCCATCGACCATGAAGATCAAATTGAATACATCCTCAACGGCCTTCCTGAAGACTAGAAACAAGTCTCTGCTCAGATTGAAGGCCGTGACTCATCGCCGTCCATTACTGAGGTTTACGAAAAGCTCATCAATCAAGAGCTAAAGTTACAGGCTCTTGTCAACACATCCTCCTCACTCCCGATCTCTGTAAATTACACCAACAACCGCTGCCGCTCATCGAACAAACCAAATCAGCAGCTTCACAACTCGTCATACTGGTCCAACCAGTCCACCACGGTTCAACAACGCTTCTCCAAACCATACCAAGGTCGCTGTCAGATTTGTGGCACGCAAGGCCACTCGGCTAGGCGTTATCCTCAGTTCCAGTCTGTCCATAATTAACGCCCACTGCTACCAACTCCACCATCGCCGTGGCAGTCTCAGGTGAATCTGACTCACGGTCCAAACAACAATCCCTAGATTGTTGACTCCGCGGCAACGCATCACATCACGTTTGATCTAGCAAACCTATCGCTCCATCAACAGTACAATGGAGGTGAAGAAGTTGTTATTGGGGATGGATATGGTCTCCCAATTCTCAATACTGGTTCCTTCTCTCTCCCTTCAATATCGCGTTCTTTGTCTCTTAACAGTGTCCTTCATGTTCCTGATATACATAAAAATTTGATATCACTATATCGTCTTTGCAATGCGAATAATGTGTTTGTTGAATTTTTCCTGGCTTATTTCCAGGTGAAGGATCTCAGCTCGGCGGCCCAGTTACTCCAAGGATGAACTAGAGATGAGCTCTACGAGTGGCCAATCACGAAGTCAATGGCAGCGTCCTATTTTGCAACTCTAACAGTCAAAGCTTATGTATCTGATTGGCATTCGAGACTCGGTCATCCAGCTCTCCCTATTCTTAAAACTGTTGTCTCCAAGTTTTCTTTACCAATTTCAGATTCATTTTCAAATTCCCTGTCTTTTTAATAAAAGTCACAAACTAGCTTTTTCTCAAACCTCCATCTCCTCTACTCGTCCTCTTCAATACCTCTTCACAGATCTCTGGACTTCCCCAATAGCCTCGGCCGAGTCTCACAAACACTATCTGATTCTTGTTGATCATTTCACCCGTTATACATGGTTTTATCCACTAAAACTCAAATCCGATGTTAAAAACACCTTCATTTGCTTCAAAGCCTTGGTCGAGAATAGGTTTTAAACAAAAATTGGAACCTTATTCTCCGACAATGGTGGAGAGTTCATTACTCACCTAACCTCCCCTCCCCACACGCCAGAACACAATGGCCTTTCTGAGAGACGTCACCGCCACATTGTTGAAACAGGTCTCGCTCTCCTTCATCATGTCAAAATCCCAAACAAATACTGGTCGACGTTTGTGCAACGGCTGTCTACCTCATAAATCGCTTACCCACTCTTGTTCTTAATCTCACTTCACCATTTCAGCTCCTCTTTGCCACTAAACCAAATTACTCAAAACTCAAGATCTTTGGCTGCCTTTGTTTTCCTTGGCTAAGGCCCTATCGCTCTCACAAACTTGAAACACGCTCCAGCCCCTGTGTCTTTCTAGGATACTTTCTTACCCAAAGTGCATTCCTATGCTTAGAGCCTTCTACTAATTGCCTCTTCGTCTCTCGCCATGTCCAGTTCGTTGAGAATCGCTTTCCCTTCGTCGAGCTCTCGAATTCGCCACCAGTGACGACTGAAATAACAACTTGGATGCCACCGATTACCGTGATCCCACTCGTAGCCCCACCTCCGGAGACTCCCTCAGCCCCCAACACAGCTCCTTCACCACCACCAGAGAACGACAACAATCCAACAGTTTTGTCCTCTCCTCACACGGCTTCGTAACCACACGCGCCATCCCCGACTCCGTCAACACCGACAGTTTCCACCTCCACAACGCCGTCAGCTCCGAACACCAACATTCTGACCACGGCGTCACCATCGGTCTCCGATTCCAGCTCTCCCCCGTCTCATAATCAAACATCAAGTGAGAAAGGAGACTCAGCCCACACCACAAATGTTACGGCCCATCAAAACCAGCCCACTAGCCCTCACACTACTCAAACCAAAACAGGCCCATTAACCATAACTACCCAACCAAAAGGCCCAACAACTACTAAAACAGCCCAACCCACAAACACCACACAAACATCGTCTTCCTCCTCTCAACCAAACCACATCGCATCCTCTCAACCAAAAAGGGAATCATCGAACCAAACTCCAAATATGCTCTAGCCATAGCCAAGGTTGATACAGAACCTCACACAGTCATTCAAGCCCTAGCCGAAGAAAAATGGAGAAACGCAATGTCGGAAGAGTTCAATGCTCAAATCCAGAATTTCACCTGGTCTTTGGTCCCACCGGCTCCGAATTGAAACCTTGTAGGTACGAAATGGATTTTTAAACTGAAATACTTACCTTATGGTTCAATTCATAGGCACAAAGCACGTCTCGTTGCCAAAGGATACAACCAAATGAAAGGGATCAACTACAACAAAACTTTCAGCCCGGTGATTAAAGCCATAACAATTCCGGTTTTTTTACAGACTTCTGTAGCGGTGACTGGCTAATTATGCAACTAGACGTCAACAACGCATTTTTACAAGGTTCTCTGACCGAGGAAGTTTACATCTCCCAGCCACAAGGGTTTGTCGACATCAATCGAC